TGTAGCAAAGCACGGGAACAACATTACAACACCAATCAGAAGGAAACGGCATTAAAAGCCTGACGGAGCAAAACGTGCCTTTCAGCCTTATACCCAAAGAGGCAATTCTGACTGAAAAAGAGAATCGGCCTCTTTTCTGTTGACAACCAGAAGCACAAAGCCTGTTGGTTTTCAGAGATTCTGAATGACGAGGACACAAGCAATCACCAGCAATCCACATGAGCTCCGCAAAGCCCAAGCAAATGATGGTGAGATCACCTGGACTCACAGCCCACCCTTCGTAAAAAAACATTTTGTGTGTGTGTCCAAAACCATTTTCACCTTGTTTCAAGTTATCTGCACCAGCTGGGCCACAGGAGCCTTACGATCAGATCAGATGCTTTGGAAGCAAGGCTGCAAATCTGGAAGGTCCTTCAGAACCAACCGCCAAGCACCAGAATACTGGTCCCTTCACACCCCCGAGGACAACCTACCTCCTCTATCATGGTGTCCACGGCTGCCAAAAGCTCCTCCTTGCTGCATCCTGTCTCCACCATGTTTCTTAGTCGGAGGCAATACTCCCGCATCTGTTTGAAGGAACCAGCAAATGTTAAGAGTCCTGGAATGGCAAAAACACCCATCTTGGCTCAGTCTGAAGTGGTGGGGCACTCATAAAGAGACAACCTTCGTGTCTCCAAGTCATCACACTGGTTGTTTTGGGGGCAAGCAATCTTCGGCGGAGCTCAGAAAGGGAAGAGGCGGCAGCAGCAAGCAGAAGAAATTAAAGGTGGGATATAAAAGATAAGGAAACCGAATTAAAACTAGTTTACATCAACACCATTCCTTCTCCCTCCTTGCAAGCCATCCTTGCTTGCACCACCATCCACCCACCACTTCACTCTGGTTCTTTAAAAGGATCTCATCACTCCATCCAACCGCAACTTTCTTGACTTCCCCTTCTTCTCCATCCAGTTGTGTCTGTGTTCTGCAATTTGATCGTCATCCATTCTCTTTATGGCAGTGTTTCTCAACCTTGGCGACTTGAAGATATGTGGACTTCAACTTTCAGAATTCCCCAGCCAGCATGGGGAATTCTGAGAGTCGAAGTCCACAGATCTTCAAGTCGCCAAGGTTGAGAAACATTGTTTTATAGAGTCAAACCACCTCCTGTCAGTCACACATCTGTATTTAATCTGCATTCATTCATTCATTCCTTTTTGAGCCCTCTCCTCTTGTTTTACCACCCTTAAGTATCCCATTTACACCGCATTCAACTTACTTCGATGTTTCTCCTGACATATCCAACTCTCATTTCCCTATAACGAAGTGGACAGAAGCTCGCTCTTACATTCAGCCATTTTTGCCTCTTTCAACCAACCCTCACAACAAACCACATTCTCTCCACTCTCTTTTTGCTAGCATTTGCACGTCTTAAAATGCCTCCATTTGTTTCCCCGTTTTTACTGAATATTGGTAGAAGGCATGCAAAACCATCTACCGGCTGTGGCTTTTCAAGTTCCTTCTTCAATCTCTGGACTATATCATCGCTTCTCCAAGATCCCCCCTTAACAGCTCTTCATATCTTTCCCAAACTAGCTCTAAATTTCTTTACAATGCTTTAAAGGTTTTTCTGTGCTGCTGATTTGTTAGCTACATGATGGATTATATTGTATATTTCGTAAGTTTCCTAGGGCAGATTTTTACATACATGCACACACACTTCCATTTGTATTGAAAGGCAGTTTACATATATATATATATATATACACACACACACACACAAACACCTCTGTATAAATGGGCATACACATATGCACGCACGCACACATCAAACAAGATATTTATGGGCAAGCAAAATACCAAAAGAAAACTCCACAGGGCCAGCAGACATATCTTCAAGCTTGGGCCTGAGCAAAGCCTCCAGACTTCTGGGCAGATCAAACTCAACTGGCCTCTCCAGGAACTTTCTGAGGCAAAGATTGCAGAATAGTCAGCCCTTCCTATCACCTCCAACTCCACCCACCTTATTGTTCAGAATCTCATTCATCCGTCTGGAGGCCTCCGAGGTATTTGATTCAGGGAAAACCTTCTTGGGAACAACGCCATACTTTTCTATTCAAAAAAAACAAATACCAAGAAATTACCACACCAGCCAGAAGTCGGGTCAAAGAAAGTTCCCTCTGCCCTTTGCACATGCCAAGCACAATGCTCCTTGGGAGGGCAAAAGGCTGCAAATTGCAACACTCCTTCGCCTTTCTTTGTGCCCGAGAAGCCAGAGCAATGAGGCTCAGCCCCTCCTGTGCCTTTGGGGAAGGGTGGGCAGGAGAAAGAGGGCAAAAGAGGGCACAAATACTGTTTGGAGCGCTAAGCACCAAATAAGACAGAGGGTTACTAAAAAAAAACAGCTTCAGAAGCTCAAATTGTGTGTCAGGTCGCACACGGATGGCAACCTCAGCCAGAGGCCCCTGCACTGACTTCCAGGGGCCCCTGGGGCCCTAAGGCCTCTGCGGCTTCAGTCCCCCCCAAGATTCTGGGTTCCAGCTTTTCTTACCAATGATGTTCACGAGCATGTCCCACTGGCCGCCATCATTGCAGGGGTTGGTAAGCAGGAACTGCACCAACCGCCCATCGACAGGTTCGTACGCGGTTTCGATAAACGCATGCAGGAAGTAGTAACAGCGCTCAATCTGGGAGCCCGGGCAGAGGAGAACAGCATTAGAACCCAGCCCCGCTCAGCCGCTTCGCCCAGAAAGTCCGCGTGCCCTGCTTCTTTTCCCCCGACGCCCCCCATCTGCCTCTCCGCACCTGCCCCACCCATCACCAGCCTCTTCCCTTGCTTTATGACCACACGCTGGATGCCACGATAGCCGCCATGCGTGCCCACAAACACACACCATCTAACAATTGCTCTGCGCAGTGGTACCCACGCCCACCACGTTTGGGTTCAGTTGCCCAGTAACAGCTCTGTAATTTGTCTCTTGAGAACCAGCAGTTCATCTTTCTGAGGTAGGTTGCCTCTAAACCTGGAGGCTCCAATTCAGCTATCAGCAGGGCTTCCATACCCCTCTTCCTTCTGAAAGCCTAATTAAGCCAGCGGTTGCTTCCAAAACTTACGGGCTGAACAAATTAAACCACATTGGAAGAGCCATTAAAACCGGGCTTTAAAAAAAAAAAGCCCTGGAAAGGGGTAAGTTAGAACCACCACCCTGGACTGTGTTTTGTTCGTGGTGGCCTCACTTTCTCCCTTAGCTATTTGCTGCTATTATTTCTTATCAGTTTTTTTTTTTTTTTGCTTTATTACGCTGTCTTCGTAGTTCAACCTTTTTTTACTGTAAGGAGGGAATGTCAGCCCTAAGCCTCAGGAAGTAACCAAGCAAGTGCATCAATCAGTAAATGATCTGCCTGAGCAAATTCATTTCAAACCATCGTAAGCAAAGGACTCTTCTTACATTATACAGGAAGAACAGTCCCTTCACCTTGCTGTCACCCTCTCCACGTCATTCCTAGTTTCACAATAATGGCTGAGTGTAGCAGCAGCTGCAACCAGAACACTAAGAGCCTTATCTGCCTACAACGGTGTTTCTCAATCTTAGCCACTTTAAGATATGTGGACTTCAACTCCCAGAATTCCCCAGCCTCCCTATTTGGAGGGTGCCATGTGGGAAGACCATGCCCAGGCGACACCAGCTCTAAATTGCACCCTTCTTCCCTGCTTAGTGGTGGGAACCAGGCACTGCTCGGGCTGGTCTTTCAGTCAAATGCTCAAAGCAGGGAAACAGGGATGCCCTTTTGGGCAAGACCCTTTCTCTGTACCTTGTCCCAAAAGAAAAGGTAGGACTGGCTGAACTCAAACTCCTCAATGTTGAGCTTCTTCATGAACGGCAAGCGCATCACGTTCAAGCAGGAGAAAATCCAGCAGCGTCCTGAAAATCCAGCCAGAACGAAAGGAAGAGACAGGCAGATGGTGTGAACTCCAAGGAAAAGAGAGAAAGCAAAACCTGCACGCTCACACCACCTACCCCAAGGATCCAGGTCTACCCCTCACTTATCCCCATGCCTGTTCTCCAAGATGAAACTTGGAACTTCTCCTCCAAATCATTCCAATTTACAAACATCCCCCATCTT